AGGGCATAACGGAAGTTAAAAGCATGGTTGCTGTGCAGATTGTTACTGGCAAAGCGATGGTGCCAAAAAAACTCATCGAGCATAGTGTACAAAATAATCTATAAGGGATCCAACAGCTTTTCTTCCAGTTTCCCACTTATTGGTTTCACTTTCATGTCCTGACATCTGACACTCCATTTTCAAAACCTAGAATATGGTCGATTTTCTTAGAGACTGGATTGTATATCCAATGTAGAGGGCGCTTGGACTAGTCTCAGTTCAGGCATACCAAGACATAAAACATTATAGCATGTGGTAATCTCTATAAGAAAAACAGAAGTTGTCACCTAATTCCCACTAGAGAGAGAGAGAGAGGGAGAAAGTATCTTGAATCACTTCACAAGGTAATCGTATCAGACTATTAGTACTTCAGATGACAGATGAAACATGATGCATAACATGCATTAGTTGCATAGCATTCTGATTGTTGATCATGGGGAGATACATCCGACAAGATGACAATATTTAATGTTCTGCTAAAGTGCAGAAGCAAAATTATATAATTTATCATATTCGCAAAAGATTATAGATCATTATTTAAGAAAAATAATATTGACAACAACAGTCGGTTGTGAAAGGGGTAAATTAACAAATAATTGCAATACTGCTTAAGAAATTCAAACTCAAACCCAAATATGACATGAAGGTTATACCACTTGGGCATGCAAGCAAAGCATACCCCATCGGCTCCAGCTATAATACTCTTTATCAACGGCACAATCTTGCTACTTCGTTCTATATCATATCCCAAAAAGTATTTTGCTTGAGATAAGGCAATCACAATGGCTGAAGCAGTTGTAAAGCCAGAAATGACAGAGTGGCTGATGAAGCGGATAATCCATCCAAGCCTGGACAAGCAAAGAATCTAAAGTAAATGAAACCAAAATACAACATCAAGGTAGCAACTAACAATATCCTATAGCTTACAATACTTTTCACACTCCAAAGTCGCTTTTCTCGGCACAAAAAGGATCCCCCACCATAGAGTATGAAATTCATTTTTTATAACTCTATGACTAGTACAAGGTAGAGCTAAATTGTAGTAGCATGACAGATAAAGCACCAACAACATGATCAACAAGTTTTCGGCTTTCACTTTTATAGAGCTCAAAACACAATGCATCTAATTTCTGATCGCATAAGTACATGTCCATGCTGTATCCATGAGCATGCACTTAAAGAGGGGAAAAGCAGACGTACCTCAAGAGCCCCAAAATGCATTCCATGACCCCAACCATAAATGCCAGTAATATAGCCAGTTCTGTGTATAATGCGTCAGATGAATCAACAATGCTAGTTAAGACATTAGAGACCAGGAGAGAAACCAATGCTACTGGACCAACGGCCAGCTGACGAGATGAGCCAAATATGGCATACACAAATAAAGGTATAAAACCAGAGTCTTCCTTGCAAAATCAAACAATCAGAATCAAAACATGCAGATAAATTAGTAGATAAATCAACAAGAGAATTTGTAGAGTGGTCACCCTATTCACTAGCGGTTTGGAACTTACAGAGTCCGTATATTGGTTCAAGTCCAGCCAATTTTGCATAAGACATTGCCTGGAATTCCACAACAAACGGTCAACAGAAGAAACATACCGCATTCAGTATGTGGATGAAATATTTAATCTCAAACCGGTCTCATTCCAAATCACGAATTAGAAATACCTAAAACATGTCACATTCAGTATTTACTATAACGTAATTTTGATTTAAAATTTTAACAGATGCATCTACGGTTTACAACCGTATAACCAATATGTTCATAACACAATATGCATTCAAAGTAAATGTAATTCTTTTAAACCAATATTATATCGTTTCTTTAAACAAAAAATTGCACCTAAATTAATTAATTATAATGCCATAAAACAGTATCATATTTCTGTCTAATCACCACGTCTTTAATTGCCTGGCCGCTAAGAAAATCAAATCATAATAACTACAAAATCTCACGACAACGGATAGTAGTGGACAATTTGCACACGGGACCGATTTATTACGAGTACGCCTAATTGCTACAGAGAATTACAAATCCGTCTAGTCATAAATAGTGATTACATATACAGACAAAATGAGAAAAAAGAATGTGATTGGAGAGAGCTTTCGTGTTTGGCTTCCCAGAAAATGAAGGAAAATGTAAGAAATTTATGCCTTAGATCTCAAGATTTTCCATTTGTTTAAAAATCAGATTACGATAAAATAGCAGTAATTACAATTTACAATTCAACCTGATTCCAGCTTAATTGGTTGCTTGTGTTTCAAAAAGCAGCGTTAAAATCGGTTAATTAACGTCAGAAGATTAGAAACCACAAAAAAAAGAGTATTTTCTGTTTGGTTGCTGAGAAAATTAAATATTCAGGCGACGAACAGGCCTTGAATTATCAGCTTAAGAACCAGGAACTTCCAATTCGGTTTAAAACAAATACAAAAAATTATAAAGAATAAAAAGGAACGAATTGCCGGAATTGAGGAGAGCAGCAAACGCTTCGAATTTTCCTTTCCTTTTCTTTCATTTTCTCGGCAACCAAACAGAGAACGAAAATTAAAAATTCTTACCTGAGGAACGAGCATGACGCCGACGGTGATGCCGGACATGAGATCGACCTGCAAATACTCGCGCCATTTGTAGGTCCGAATCCAGCGGGAGCAAGGCAAGAAGAGCGCCAGCCATTCGACCCAGGTCATGCTCTGGACCTTCGATTTCCATTTCGACAGCGCCGCCCACGGCGACGACGAGGAGCTCGACGACGTCGTGTCGGGGTGCTGGAGGGGGATGATTCGAACGGGTCGGGCGGAGGTCGGCATGGAGGATCCGGCCGCGAAGTCCGTGTAGCTTGGAGATGCGTAGGTTATCTCCATGCGCACCACCGGCGCATGTGAGTTATTTATCCCGCGGTTTTGTGCATGCGCGGCGCTCGGTGGCCGAGAGAAAATGATGATGTGATGGGAATTAGTGGTCCACTTAGTGCGATTAACATGGTATTTAACAAAAACGCTAGATTTATTAATCGTTATTTTGTGGGGGTTAAGATTAAATGACTTCTATACACGTGAACTTTCAATCAGCCGCCGCTTTAGAAAATAAGTAATTAAAAAAAATTAAAAACGAAGGGAAAATAAATCGTTGCGTTGATTTGACAAAAATTAAAGAAATGTCAATTTGATCGTGGACATCAGCTTTTAAATTTGGAGAAATTTTTTTAAGTACTGGTATTTAAGCGGTATTTTATATAATTTTTTTTATTTTTTGGTCAAATAAAAAATTTTCTTAAATTAAATGTTAGATTAATTATTAATGAGGTGACACAAGGCATTTGCATATATTTCCTCTGTTTATTTTAAGATACGTGCACCACCCGCTTATTCTTTATTTTCTATTATTTCCTTTTATTTACATTATTTTGTTGAATTCTTTTTATGTACTTGAAATATGTACTTTTACCAAAACGTCCAGTACTTGGTGACAAGTTTTTGCCGCCAGAAAGGAAATTTCCAAGCAAGGTAAACGTATCAGAATAGGGTTGGAGATGGATCATGTAACAGAAAACGACAAAACTATTTATCATACCGACTTTGGGCTAAGTCTCACAAAAATTTGAGATCAAGTTCGCCATCATCATAACAGTGGCAATTACAAGTTTACATTTTAATGAACAGTAAGAACAAATCGCGTATTATAAAGTTAGTGATTATGAGAGGTGAGAAAGATCTATAAAGAAACGACAAAACAATAAATTATTTTGAAACTTTAAAATTGTCAACTATTATTGAAATACTTAAAAAATTTACGTGTACTGATATAAGTAAATTATGAATAATGAGCACACATATTGTAATAGGGCTATCGTACCACTCAATTGTTTCCCCCGTGGAAAGGTGGGGTGGAGGGGACGTACCAAGCTATTGTTGTGATTATAATTACGAAGTTTTTTAAATCAATGGTGATGGAACATAGGGGGATTCAACCAATAATATATTTAAAAAATAACCAAATAAAAATTGAAAATACAGAAATGGAAAGGGTGTGGGTTTTGGATGAATGTGGACGAGAGTACGTATAAGTTCAAGACCGCATGATTGAGGAGGAGGCGTAGGTGATTGAATCCACGTGACTCAGGTGTAGGCGTTGGGACAGCTCAGAGCTCACCATGTTGTGTATCGGGCTCGCCTGATTTACCAGTTTTCAGATACTTTGGTTATGTGTTAATAATGGTCATTTAAAAAAAAAATTATTAAGCGTTTTTTATATTTGTTTTTCTCTAGCAATTGCTTCATTGAAAAGTGCTTCCATGGAACCAGATCCTCTCTGGATTCAAAGAAATTGAGTTCAATGATCAAATGATTCGGACCATTAAAATTTGATCTAACGGCTATAATTATTATTATTTTTAGAGAATCTACTGATTGTAACCGTTGGATCAAATTTCAATGACCTAGATCATTTAATGAGTAGGCTCAATTCTTTTGAATCTGGAGAGGATCCGGCTCCGTGCTTCTATGCCCAAAAGCACAGGCAAGGAAGGAGAAATTCTCGTGTTTAGAACTTAAGAGGGGGAAATTGTGTGTCCGCTAAGAGGACTACGTCATCTATACGCTCAAACGCAACCAAACAGAGCCCTTGTATATTAGAGTTGGTTAAAGCGAGTTCATGCTAAAACTCATTCTATGTAAAGATTCGTTTAGAAGTGTTTTTAAATAACTGAAAGTAATTTTCTGGAAGTATTTTTGGGTTCAAAAATCACTTAGAAGTGCATTTTAGAAAAACACAGTTCTGTATTTTTTCCGTAAGTGTTTTTTCCATAGAGTACTTCAAGTGTTTTTCAAGATTCACTTGCAGATTGGTTTCAAAATAACTTTCATTAAAAACGCTTTCAGTTATTTTAAAAGCACTTGTAAACACACCCTAAGACCTCCAACACGAGAGAGGTCAACTAGTGAGTTATTCTTTTGTAGGCGGTTGAAAAACATGCGAGTTTCTCAAGGAGTAGTGATATACAGTAACTTGAAATTGCTGGGTCTCACTAAAAGGTGCATGCGACCCGGCCATACAAATGCTGTTTTCCCAGTGTTACCAGAATCCCAACTTGTTCTTGACGCCTACCAAACATCTACACATTTTCAGTTTATTACTGCCTTCGATTTGGGATCGATTCTAGCGTACAAAGTTGAACACAACAACAAATAGAATTATCCTCACTTTTATGAGTGCGACTGTGCGTGCTCCGGCTTGTGGCTGAACTCGTAATCTAGATGAACAAAGGCGCGCTCGATTTCAGGCAGGAGCTCAAGCTTCTCCTGCAGCGTTTCCCCTATGTCATGAGCCTCTTGTAAGGGCATGTCAGCCGGCAGGACAATGTCAACCTCGACGAAGTAGTGCGAGCCAAAGGTGTAAGCCCGGACTGTATCGATATGGCGTATTGCCTTGTGATGGTTCCAGCAAAGGTACGTCAATTTTTGTAGATATTCGGGAGCAGCTGATCTTCCAACTAGCGAGTTCACATTTTCCAGCACAGTCAACGACCATGTGCGAATGGTGTACAAGGCCAGCTGCAAAAACCCAAGGTCACAACCCCAATAGCAAAATAATGGACATAGCATCAATTGAAATTTGAGTTTAACACAAATCATAAGATAATCAACACCCAGGAGATGTCGGTTATTTGTGAACAAATGTTTGACAACCTCTCATCTAATATCTCGTTCTGACTGCTATGTACTTCATAAGATTTACCATCCCTCTACTAAATTTGAAAGTTTCAACACTCTTAACATAGAGTTCCCTATAGTTATTTGTGGGAAGGAAGGGTAGAGGAATGAAGAGAGCAGGAAGCAACTTACAATGATGGCTCCAACGGGGTCCATCCAATCATCAAAATAATGAGCAAGGAGCACAGCAACGAGACCAATGATGTTAGTTATAACATCAAAGAAGTGATCCTGGGCATAAGCTTTAACAATTTCGTTCTTGAAACTGCGGCAGTAAAGCATCAGAAGGAATTTTACCAAAGTCACCGAGAGCATAATGCCCACGACCCATCGCTCTTGATCCGTGGTCAAGCTGAACTCATCCTCCTAGTCAAACATATAAATTTCAAAGCCAAGAGAGTGTTTATTTGAACAATCGATTGAAAAGATCATTTATTCAAGCTTCCAAGTGAACAAATATCTTAATCTGATTAATAACAGCTCATAATAACTTACATCAGAAACTAGTGTGCGCAATGACTCCAGGATGATCTGCAGTCCCAGGGTTGCATGACAGAGGCAAAAACAAGGATTCCCTGCATTTTTTTTTTTTCCCAAGCTTCAAATTTGAGTATGATAGACATTTCACCAACTCCTCAAAAACAGATGAGAAAAAATATGACCTACAAGAATTCAAGCTAAGTATATCAACTGCTATATGTAGAACAAGCCATCTACCTCCATATCTTTAAAGCAATGGCAGATAAACAAACCAAGCTATGGAAAAACAATCCATCTACCTAGAGAACCTGCTTGGTGTAAAGCTAAGGAAGAGTGCTTGTTGAGCCACACGACAAGTAGGTTTTTTGACAAACCACCCAACGAACTTAACAGGGATTAACCCGTTAGACTTGCTAGTTGGCACAAACACACACTTACAATGTATGATCAACTTCTAAGTCCTAACACGTGACAACAATTCATCACATACAATATCCAAAGGCACTATAGACTGGCAGGTAAAATGAAAATATTTCTCCTTGAAAATATAGCCTAACTTACAGAAAACAAAGAAAGACAAAAGAAACCATTATAAGCTCTGATGGAAGAAAGCAAAGCGGCCAAGATATGCCAATGAAAACTCCATATGGGAAACAAGTAAGACAATGGTCAAGCATATAGACAACGATATGAGGCAGCATGAATCAAGAAGGTATGGGAAATGGTTAGAACTTTGCTGTTAGTGCTTAGATAGAATACATTAAACATGCATTAAGAATAACTGTCTAGCTATTAGTAAAAGTGGGATAAAAGCACTACCATGTACAAGTTATACAGATAATTTTCATCTTCACTCCCAAAAGAGAAGAGAAGATAGAAATTGTATCCAATCTCAACAGTCGAGGGCGCCCAGTATGGGTGAACCCCGAACTCATTAATGGTTTAGACTGGAGAGCCACATGACTATTTAAGCTGCACGACTAAGCTAGCAACCATGCTTTGGTGATTAAACCTATGATATTATATAACACTATAACAGTAATGTACATCCCCACAAAGAGCAGAAAGACAAAGAATGGTCGTGGTGTATAACTTTGAAGGCCGCATTAAACACAGAAAACATCATAATACAGTTTGAAACTACGGCTATAGCTACCATCAAGAATAGTACAGACACGTACCAACGGCTGCATTCTTTTCTTCCCAATAGGATACTGATATGGGCTAGGGGTTTGCATGGAGAATGCAGTAAACCACAAGATGAAGCCGGACAAAAGATCAAGCAATGAGTCCAATGTGGATGCGATGATGGCCAATGAACCACTTCTGACAGATGCATAAACTTTAGCTGCAAAAAGAACCATGTTTGCAATATTGGATATTCTGATGGCAAAAGTCTCGCTTTTTGCCAACTTTTCCTTCTCTTCCTGCAACAAAACTCGTTACATTTCAGTTTAAGTAATTCGAGTATACTGAGAAGAAGACAGAAAACATGATGCTATACAAACCTTTGACATTCCAGGAATAAAACCACGCTCCGCCAAAGCATCCATTTCAGTAAAGCCCTCGAGCATTTCTACCTGTTGTTGGTAATACTCCGCCACAGTATCCTCCGTCCCTAAGGCCATCAAGCAGAACAATAAAAATGGTACCTCATATGTTAATTGCATATATGATTTTAATATAAAGAATAACTACAAACAGTCTACGCATTTGCATATATCCCTTTGCCCCTTTCACCCTCCACATAAACGGAACATATGAAACCCCGTTCGCCCTCCACAAAGATGATAAAACCATAAACCAAGTCAGCAGAAAGTACTCAATACTCCCAACCACAATCTGAAAATGCTTTATTTACTCGAAGATCGACAACATACATACAAACAGGTATAAATAAGTGAACTTACACTCTCACAGTCAGTCTCAATGATCTAGCAATACCAAGGACAGCATACTGAAATTCAAGTAAACCCCATAAATTCTAAAGTCCTCAACTCCATCACTTCCCCCCCCCCCCCAATGTTTATAATTCACCTCTCCTTCGAGCTTTTCGATTACGAATTTATGCATAGCAGATTGAACCCTCCATCTGAAATCATATATTCATATACAGAAAAGCAAAAGCTAAACTCCCATCACAAAAATTAATACGAATTTTTTAATAAACCAAAAACAAAAAACTGAGCTTCCAAAAAAGAAAAATTCTCGGAGACCAGAACACTCAACGCAATATTCCCATTTCAGACCATACAAAGTAAAAAATAAAATTAAAAAAACACAAATCACAATAAAAAAAAATTCCGGAGAAGGTGCGGAAAATTACCTAAAACCCCAAGGCAGTCATGGATTCCGCGCGGAGGCTTCTTCTCCTTGTGCTCCGACGACACCTCGAAGCCGTCGAAGTTCAACCGCCACGACCCGTCGACAATGCTCGACTCCTGCAACAGCGAGCTCTCCTCGTCGTAGCAGGGCGTCACAGGATCCACCATTACCCCGGTCACCGTGAGTTAGAGAGAGAAAGAGAGGGAGAGAGAGAAGGCTGGGTTAGAGAGAGAGTGCGGGAGGAGCAGGGGAGCATTCGAGGGGCAGGAACTGAAAACTCGATGAGAATCCGAGGGGTTTTTGGGAAACGGGAATTTATATTATAGTTCTGTTGTGGACCTTGTGGTCTGCATACTCGGAGAGTTAAGCGCCAGAGAAAAGTATGTGAGTTACGAAAACTGAAAGTTCTGATCGCCATCTGATGCCACGTGGACGGTGACGAGGTGTTATGTCAAAAGGTTGATAGAAATGGAAGGGGGATCTCTTCCATCAAAGCTTACGGATCAAGTAATCCGAGTTTTTAAAATTTGATTTAACTGTTAAAATTATTATAATTTTTAAATTACCTTTCTTTTTAACCGTTAAATCAAATTTTAAGAATCCGAATCACTTGATCCGTGAGCTTTGATAGAAAAGTAGGCTTTGATAGAAAAGATACAGAAATGATCTGTACCCGATAGAAATAGACGGTGTCTCTGTGTCTGTGTCTGGGCCAGAGATTCTGGTTCACGTTGAATTCGGGTCACAGTCAATGCGGGTCCCAATTCTGGATAGGATTCTAGATTTGGGTTATTGGTGAGGCGGAGGCGCAGGTAGACCTGCGCTTGAGGATCGTCGGATGGCTATCAGGTAGCGATTAACCAATGATGGCGCACTTGATCAGAAACTCGCAGAGTTGAAGTATGCCGAGTCAGAGTTGGTTGGCTGTTTGGTTTCGTGAGAATTGGGAATGAGAGATCGCAACATGTGCGGATTCGTTGGCCCACTTGCTGATGCATATCTAAACCAACGTTATTTTTCCACTGTGCGTGCGTGGCAACATGTCATTCTAACAATGTCTTTTTTGGAAAGTACTTTTAGAGAAAGTGTTTTCAAAAACATGTTAAGGTGGTTTTTATAAAAAAAACATTAGTTATGTGTTCTTGTAGAAATCTTTTAAAGTGTTTTTTAATATTCATTTGCATATTTATTAGAGACTGATTCTAATATTTTAATTAAAAACGTTTTTAATCATTTTAAAACACTTCTAAACGAGCCTAAATTTTTTATAAAATATATATATATATATGTATGTATGTATGTATAGAGAAGAGAGAAGTTTGAGAGAAATGTGAGAGAGAGAGAGAGAATGTGAGTTTTTTTATTTTTTATTTTTTAAATTAGAGATACTATGATGACATGTAGATTAGATTTGAAAAAAAATATATATTTGGTATGTGTAAAATTACATTATTACTCATATTTTATTTTGTTATAGAATATCATATTGTTTTTCATCTTTATTTTTTAGTCGATAAAAATAATTTTGTTAATTGGTAGTTTAGATTTTGTACAACTAGTCGCTTTGTAGTTTGTCTATTTCGTGTTACATCAAGCGCTGAATAATTGATAGTGAAAAGTTTGAATAATTTGTTCCTCAATAATTTTGTTACGAGAAATGTGCAGACCAAAAAGCACTTTTGTTAGCTGAGCTAAACTCAAATATGCTCAGACATAAAGTCCGAAACTTGAACTTGTCTAGTAAAGTGGAGATTTGGGTGTCAATATATTAAATTGTATGGTCACTAATTTATGATACAACTTAGAAAAAATGCAAATAACATGACGTGCAAATTAGGAATACCATTAGACTTTAATATTAAGAGAGAGAACCCTAGATAGCCATGGAGGGGGTTTTGCCAATGATAAGAGAGAGAATCGACTTAGAGAGGGTAGATGTAAGATAATTGTTGTTAGAGTAAATGTAAAAATATATAAAATAATTCAAATGATGACTTTAAGGTACGACTTGAATCGTTTCCTTAAAGTTTTATTTGTCCCCACTCGAATGAGTTTGCTAAAGGGTTATTGACAAATCACTTCCAGGATACAACAAAATATGAAATATTTGATTAGCAAAACCGAACTGTATTTCCTTAGAAATAATTAGAAATAAATTGTATAAATGTGATGAAAAGATAAGAGAGAGCAAATAAATTGTGTAGATAACAAATTACTTAATTGTGTGTGAAACATTATACCACAACATATATTTATAGAAATTAAAGCACCCATTCATTTTGGTTGAAGGTATACAACTTTTATTAAGAATGTTGACCCAAAAAAACATGTCCAACTTCATAAATTAATATTGACTGGTTGCATCCTTTTAATTTTGAGTATAACAGTCTCAAAAGGTACAAGAGTAAAAGGGTGGATTATACAACCTTTTATAAAGGTTGCCACACACATGCTACGCACGCAGCACCATTATATATATATATTTATGACACACCTGACCGAAGTTGAGGCGTCGTCACTCGAAGGTGACGTAACCAAAACTATAAGCGATGAAAGAATGTGAATAATTTAAAACTGAAACTAGAACTTATTTAACTAATAAAGTGAGTGCACAGTAGTAGGTAGAACCCATAGAGTACAAATATTTAGAGCCTAGATGACAAAAGAGTGTGCAGTCTAAGCTAATTAAAGTGCTTAATACACAACCGGGTAAAGACCCTACATTTATTTAGATATGTCAAAATCTGCCGGAGTTTCCTCGTATGCCACAGAGAATTCAGCTATCTAAGACCTGGAGAGGCGAAAAACATAAGGGTGAGTGGGCACAAAAACAAAGGTTTATCAAACATATTTATTTTCCGAACATCCTAACCCCTCACTATAAATCATGTATAGTTTCCAGAAAATCATACTGCGTATAAGTATGAAAACAACTGTAAATAACAATGATGCCAGAAATACTCCAAACTACAATATCTCAACAATAGCATAATGAAAATAGGTTGCTCATTGGTCTACGCTAGCACACGAGTTCATGCAGATAGTTTCTAACTTGAACAATACTTTGGTGTAATATATAAGTACGCTCTAGTGCTACAATCACGTGAAGACTAGCGATAATTGCAGTCACCTACAAGTCAGAGTTGCTTAATGCAACCTGTACAATAAGACTGACACCTACTTGAATTCAAGGCGAGCGTGCGGTGCAAAGGTGAACATACACGTGAAATACTAGCCCTGGCTTCGGGTGAGCACTAACACCAGGGTGCAGCAATGATGAGTTGACTACATGCATAAATATAAACATGCCATAACCATTCAATAATTTTAGTCAACATAATAAACATACTTGTGCATCCCGTACGATTATTTTGGCATTTCACATCAATATAACATTTCTTATAACATATTTAATCATGGCATAATAGGCGTAATATCAATCTAAAAACAACAGTGGCATGATATGCATACATCAATTCAAAAGCATTTGTGGAAACTATAAGGTTTATATATATATATATGAAAACAAAAAGCCCATTCACTGATACGTGGTCGGATCGTAGCCTCCTTACCTTACTTGACCTTGTGTGTCCTTGGGATAATTTTCACTATATGTGAAATAACTAAACTAATAAATTAAATAGGACATATTAAAAAAAGGCTAGGTAAATCTCCCATACTTTGCTCAAACGAAAGGTTTGAATATACGAAAATGATCTACACAAAATTACGAAACCGTACGCGTTAAGCACTTGCCGGCTAGAGGCCGGACACGCCCTCACACGCCGGTTAGCCCACGGCCACACGCACCCCCATGCGCAAGGCATGCAACTGACAGAGACCGACGGACGTTAGGAATATTCCGTCAACTTTGACGGAATATTCTTCGTCTTCTCCGGTGAGCCACGTCGTTTGGTTCGCAGGAAATTGGGAAAATTTTCAAAGCTTCATATCTTCTTCATTTCTCCACCATTTTTCGTTACAAGTTCGATTCAGGTTTAATCTGCGCTCATGCGATCGTAACGACGAGTACTATTTAATTACGCTACTAGGAAAATAAAATAAACGTTGAATACTACATCCACATCACATTGCTAACCAGGGTAGAAATGTCAATTTACACACTCGGGGATAAATTACATAGAAAATTAGGGACATGTCGTCACATATATATATATATTATATTTATTATTGAAATCTTTGGAAAGAGATCCTCTCCGGATCTCTTCCACCAAAACCCGTTGATCAAGTGATCTAGGTCCTTGAAATTTGATCAAATGGCTAAAAACAGAGGGCACTTTTAAAAGTTATAATAATTTTAGCCGTTGGATCAAATTTCAAAGGTCCAGATCACTTGATCCGTGGGATTTGGTGGAAGAGATCCGGAGATGATCTCTTTTCAAAATCTCTAACAACTGCACACCAACTAATCGTGTTTGTAGTTTGCACCAACTGATATAGGCAAGATTCATATAAAAACTTTAAATCAATTCTTAAAGGGAAGATTAATATATAAAAAAATATTCTTAAAGGAAAGGAGAATATAAAAAAAAAAATTCTTAAAGGAAAGGAGACTCCAAATTCGAATCTCCTTTCCACACACAATGAAAATTAACAAAAAAATAGGGCTGGCAGCAGAGGGAAGGGGGTTGAGTGAGGAAAAAAATAGGACCAGTATAATAACATAAACGACTGATACCATATAAAAAGTTTAAATCAATTCTTAAAGGGAAGACTAATAAAAAAAAAAATTCTTAAAGGAAAGGAGAATCCAAATTCGAATCCCCTTTCCACACACAATTAGAGAAAATTAACAAAAAAAAATAGGGTTGGCAGCAGAGGGAAGGGGGCGAGAGAGGAAAAAAAATAGGGCCAGTATAATTACCTAACCGACTGATATCATATAAAAACTTTGAATCAATTCTTAAGAGAAGTCTCAACGAAACACTCATGTTACTGTTTACTTTTAACGTTAAGGACATTTAACTCTAAAAAGTCACTTCTGATACTATTCACTTACAACATTTTTTTGTCATTTTAGTTAAAATTCATAGTTTTCATATTCTTTTAAGGGGAGGATTAATAAAAAAAATTTCTTAAAGGAAAGGAGAATAAAAAAAAAAATCTTAAATGAAAGGAGAAACCAAATTCGAATCCCCTTTCCCCACACAATTAGAGAAAATTAACAAAAAATTATAGTGCTGTAAAATATAATAATCTCCGAAACTTTTAGCGGTAATTTAAAGTTATCCTCTATTTGCATTTTTTGCAGCCACCAAAAGTGTAACCGCGGCAATAAGTTCGTTGATATTATGTCATAAACACAGCACTCACAGAGACAATAATTCC